GATCCTGGAGCTCTCCCTGACCTTAGCAGCAAGAAGGGACCTTTTGTGGGCCAGTAGAAAAGGCCCTCAGTGACCTACTGGAGAGCCTTTCCCTTCTGGTGGGATTGGGAGGAGCCAAGGAGAAGCGAGTTGTGGGCCCTTAGGAGTTGTTCAGAAATACCAAGTTTCTCCCAGTTGGGAGGGCGCTCAGGGCAGGGTCAGCGGTGACTGGGAAAACGTGGGCTGTCTACCTAAAATGCATAAGATACTGTGTTCTCATTCTGCACTTGGCACTGCCCTGAGAACCTTTAGCCTCGCCTCTCCGAAGCATTCCGTCAGATTACTTTTCTTCCTCATCAATAATAGCCTACCCAGCAGGCCCAATGTACCCACATAAAAATCTGGGCAATGAGCCTTGGGCGGGCCCACTTTCCCATACGGCCTTGCATATCCGGATCCAAGGCAGGCTGGGACTGACCACTAGATCCCAGGGAGAGTTTTGGCGCCTGCCCCATACCATTCTTAACATTAAGATGGTCGTGCAGTACCTGGCGCCTCATTTCGTCCACCCACTCCATAGCCTCCGGGCAGGTCACCCTCAACTGGAGCAACCCTTTTCAACACCCCACCTTTTCCGGGTGTACTACATAACCCAAGAACCATTTTCCCCCCAAGTGCTAAGGCCACAAGGGCAGCTTTCCTAAGAGAGGTTGGAAAAAAGCGGTTAAATTCCGAGGTTCAAGAAAAGCTGTCTTAGGGCGATCGAAAGTTCAATGCCTGTGTAAACCGAACCTCAGAGCTTCTGACGGAACAGCCGAGCACCACAGCAACTCTGATAAGCAGACCTCCGCTGGCAAGAGGCTGCTGGTCAGCCGGCCGCGCCCCGGGGAGGATGTCCACGCATGCCTTTGACACTCTCCTCCCGGGTCAGAGTCCGGAGTGTGTGAATGAGGGTCGACCTGCGATACCAGCTGGGGGAGTCGTGCCCGCCCCGTCCAGGCCGGAGTGCCTAGGTGAGGGCAGTGGGACAGCTGTCGCGGCTCCAGTTGCTTTGGGGAGTGGCTAAGTAGGTCAGCCCCTTTGCCCACTATTACCGCCCCCCACGGTCGCTCGCGTGTCAGTGCCGGTCCCCCGCGCCACCCTCACTCGCGCGCTGTCCCTCCAGGTCGCAGCGTTTACCAGCGCGTTTTGTCCGCAGTTGGATTCCAGGCTGAGGGGCTGTAACCGTGCTCTTCTCCGACGAACGCTAATCAAGTAATTTCCCCATCCCAGTCCCATCAAATTGCTCTTTAGCTGTTGAACCACGGAGTTTTGCTCGTCTTTTCACATGCTAATCACGCCCATTCAACGGCTCTCCGTGGGGCTGTTTGTCGCGGGATAAATCTTCTTGTTTGCCCGCTGCATGATTAATTGATATTGTTGTCTGGCTTTTGTGGGGACCGCTAGGAGCTGAAAGGCGACGCGTCGTGGCTGCGCCGGGGGCCGCTGGCGACGTCTTCGGGCTGCGGAGGTCCCCGCAAGGTCGGGCCAGGGCTGATGACATTATGCGCCCGATTTGGTTTTCCTTATTAGAACTATGATGAAAGACTTGGAGACCCGAGTCTTTACAGCCCACCACCCGGGCGCTTGAAACCACACAGCGTTTAAGCCACAAGCGCAGACAAAGCCCTGGCATTTGCTCAATTCAGGAAAACGAGTTGGGTGTCCACGCAGGAGACAATTACATCTTATTTCGGCCCACCCGGGATTTCGGTGGAGTTGAATGTGGCAGTGCCGCGCAGAGGTTGGGTTCTCAAACAAAGAATTTTTTAAAAAAGTGTTTTTGGTTGAGGGCGCTAATAGAAAACAAAGGATCAGTTAAGGAAGCCAGAGCCGTTGAAGGGCAGCGGTAGCGCAAACGCGGCGCAAAGGCGCCTAGGCGGATTCTTGTGCTTGTGGATTTGCAGAAGAGCGCTGTTCTGCGACTGCCTTGCCAGCCACCACCAGGATCCGCCTGGACAAGAGCTCTAAGGCCCCAGTCAGTCTGCAAATTCACATTTTATTTGAGGGCACCGATTCCTACTCGGTGCTGTATTTTTCCGCCTCTGGCAGATGTGCAACCAAACCTCCAAATTCCTCTGCCCCCTGAACCCTTCCTTTGTGCCCTGGGGTTTTATCCTCCACAGACATCCCTAAAACTTGGAGATTCAATTAAACAATTCCACTTACGCAGAGCTCCTACGGTCTGCTCATTGCAAATATTTCCTTTTTCGAGTTCTTCAAAGAAAAAAAAAAGCAAAGTAAAGAAAAGAAACTGTCGCCTTCGCTTTCACTGCGTGCGGGGTAATTGATAGGCGCCATCAGAGGTCAGAATTTGCATAAGAATTAAGAGCAGTAAATTAATTTAATATTCCGTGCACATCCCCAATTATTCCTGGAGACCTTTGTCTCCGCGGCTGCCAGAGAGGGGATTCAGCTGCTCTTCAACCAAACAACATCTGTGCGGTTAATAATTTGATAAACAGCTCATACAAATAGTTTCTGAATTATCTGGCTGCCCAATGACTATTCAGTTTGGAAACGTTTTGGCAGGGTCTCCCGGAGTCCTCTGAGGGGCTCAGGCTCCTGCCCTGACAAATGTCCCATCTTTTAAACATCAGCAGAAGACAATGTGTAGAATAAGTCATTATCATTGAGTAATAATCCTACCCCTTAAAATAAAAAAAAAAAAAGGACACAGCCTGGGTGTTCTGGGTTAGGGCAGGTCATCTATTAGAGATTCCACCTGTGATAAATAAACAGGCTGGGGGTTGGGTAGAGTGAAGGCATACTATGTGCAGGTAAAATGGGGTATTGGGAGAGTGAAGACATACTGTGTGTAGGAAAGATGGGATGCTGGGGAGAGCAAAAAGAGGTTGCAGGATGCTTCCCTTACCTCCTTTACAATTGAGTGGCTGGACTTGTAGGTAAATTAATTCTCAAGGATCTTTGGGGGGTGACGGACTAGAAAACCAAGGTATGACAGAGGAGCAGATGGAGATTAATTTTCTACTATGTTGCTTCTGATATCTTTCATTTTTTTCCCCTCTACATATGAGTGTTATTTATTTAAAAAAATGCATACAAAAGTCACAGGGACTGGAAAGAAGGTAAGTTATGTTGGCTCATGTAGGCCTTGACGGATTTGTCCCAATGCTCCTCTTTGGGCACCACCACTTCTAACCCACCATGATTCACCCACCAGTATCCTGAAAACAGCTTCTCCCAAAGCCCAGGTACAGACAAGACAGATGGACAGGGCCCCCACAAAACTTTGAGTTAGCCCAGCTAGTGAAACAGCCATAATAAGATGATGCTGTCCTATGTCAAACCCAACCTGAATTTAGACACTAACCCCTCACTGTTACTGTCTGTAATACAGAAGATGTCATGGCTGTCATTATGTTCTATTATCTTCCTGCCACCCTTAGCAAAGCCTCTTCCTGATAGAAAGTCTAGAAAGGAACCATTTGATCTTGAATGAGACTCAGACTGCTCTAATTCCTGCAACCTGGGTATTGTGGCTGTTTACAGTGAATCTGTATTCACCCTGGGATTGTTCTGCAGTGACTTCAATATAACAGGGTGTTTCGCGAGAGTCTTTATCTCTGTCTATACATTTCCGCATGTTTGATGTACACACCTCCTACATTCCGCATCCTACTTTTCATTCCCCACACTGCTGGCAATCTAAGTACTTGAAGTCACTGAAACTACCTAGAAGTTCTGAGGAGTGTGGAGGCAGCAATATGATAGACCTTTATGCTTCTACTCTAATGAGCCCCTGGAAGCATCGAGCTTTAAAGACAGGCAAATCCTTCAGGCTATAGGTCTAAATATATGACTTTACACTGAAGGCAATGCTTGCCTGGGCTCAATTGAAGAATTGCTTTTCCAGAAAACAAGTCATTGTGTCACCCAAATAGGACAATAGTATTTCTACTGGGCACATTTATTTCTATTTTTAACATTTTCTTCTTGCATTTCATTAGGTTTCTCTACGGAACTGTAGATACTGTGGGGCCTGGCAGGCTTTTATATGCATACAAATCATCTCTGTTATTTATGATTGGGGTATCTGTCTATATTGTTTTATTAATTTCTGACTTTGATTCAGACTACTCTAGTCACCCAGAGTAATTTGAAAACATTTCTTTTCTTAAATGGAACATTATCAATTCTTTGGGGAGCCATTCTATTTTAAACACCAACATATTCAACTGCTTAATCTCTAGCTCTGATGTTACTCATTTTTATGCCCACAACTTACCCCCTTTGGGTTTTTTTTTATACTCCATATTTATCTTCCTTACATGTGTTTGACTGTGGGTTTTTTTTTTTAGAGCACTGTGGGCAGAAAAATGGTTAGTAAATAAGAAGGTAGATAACTGATTATATTTTTGACTCTGTGAGTAAAAAACACAAAACAAGGAAAGTAGAGATTCTTTTCCTACTAATGAAACCCTGTTCAGAAAAGCATTCTGGACACCATCGAAGTTAATGAGTTTGGAAGGCTTGTCCTCATAAATGCTTGGCTCTTTGGTGATGAAATGCATATTGCCAACAGTCTACTAATTTAGATATATCTTTGGAGGGAGGTTTGGACATAACCGGAACTTGGTCCTGTATGTTTGTAGGTAACCAACTTTCTGCGTCGAGTTCAAATCAGAGGTAACTCTTCCTCCTCATGTCCACGAGCACTTACAAATATTGGGGCTGTTGTAATGAGTGATATTTGGTAACTTAAAGAAAACTCTGGGGGTCCACAAGATGGGTCAGCAGATAAGGGCACTGGCCACAAAGTGTGACCATCTGAGTTCCAATTCCCAAGTCACATGTAATAGAAAGAGAAAACTGACCCCCACAAATCATTCTCTGACTTCCATACAGAAGTGTGGAATGGCACACATGTTCTCTTTATCTCTTTCTCTAAATGAGCGAATGAGTATAGTTAGTTTAAAATAAAAAAAGATTTTATTTATTTTTTTTTCTGGTAAAAAAAATACAAGAGCACAAATCCACTTTTATTTATTTACTTTTCATTGGTTTAAATCCGGGATGGGTACAGCATCACACGGATTCTGTGTCCAATGGCTTTTGCAGGAAGGTTGCTTCGGAATTTGGCACGGACCATGCCACTGTTTCCATGGGCCCGAGTTACTTTCTCCCAGATCACTCTGGTTTTGTTTGGTTTGCCTCCAGGTGTCACTGTGTTGTTTTTTGCTTTATACACATAAGCGCATCTCTTGCCCAAGTAGAATTCAGTTTCATCTCGGGCATAAACGCCTTCAATTTTAAGGAGAGCTGTGTGCTCTCTCTGGTTCTGGACACCTTGCTTATAGCCAGCAAAAGTGGCCTTGCACCACAGCCTTCCAGACAGACTGTCCTTTAGAAGTCCTGTTCCCAGCAGGCCTCCACAGGCACCAAGATGGCCAAAAGCATAAAAAAAGATTTTAAAAGCACAAACTTTGGTAATGTTACTTACTGAAGTTGGAAAAGGAAATACAATCCCATGTCTTGGGGAAAGTTTAAAGGCCAAGAGGCAGAATGATGATTCAGTGCGCTCTTTATTTAGATAAAGGATTTCCCCCAGTGCTGGGAAGCAAACCCAGGCTCTTTAAGATACATTTGACTGGGATGTTTTTTCTTTCTTTTTGAAAACTACAATTAGTAAATAATCAGGAAATTCTTCCTATAAACAAATTCCTCTAACTTATTTGCTTCTGTTGATGTGAATAAATACATTTTTTTACATATGTAGTCAGCTTAACACTCAGAACTTAAGAAACTTTGAATTTGAAAACATCGACATACAGAAAAGCTATGAACAGGATCACCTAAATAAAGTGGTCTGTTTTCATTGTCTTCTATTTTCATAATTAAATAAACTGCATTAGTTTCTCCACCTGAGATACTGGTTCAAAAGGATGCATCTCTGTGAGCTTTGGATGTTTGGAAACCACAGAAGTAAGCCCGGGTTCTCCAGAGATGATGATCCAAAGTTTCTGGTCACCAAGAGTATCTGCTACATCCCTGGTTTTTCCCCATTCTCTCCTGGCCAGGGTTGTAGTTAGGCAGGTCCAGCTTCACTCTTCAGGGCTCCCTTCACATTGCTGTGACTACAACTTTGTAGAGTTGTTAGCGCAGGTTCTGCATAGGTAATAGCACTCCTTGGTAAAGAGGTGCCAGTGAAAGAATCTGTGGCCAAGAGCCAAGGTCACCATGGTTCTGCTTAAAAGGAAGAGTCACGGGTAATGGGGTTTATGAGTTTCCTTTGCTGCTTGAGTTGCTCTGAAAGTCTGATCCAGTAAACCCAACCCACGAAGGAGTTCAGGAGCATGCTCTGCTTTGCTGACTCTGTTATGAGGAACGAGGGATCCACATAATACCAGATTCAGCAACATGGCATTTGAGACTTTCTATAGCGGACCTGGTATCAGAGTGAGACTACAAAGGAAAAGTTGTGGGCAGGAAAGCTCATGGTTCTACTTGTCCACTCAGTAACTGCAGACTTTGCCTGATTTCCTATGTCACAGACTACGGTCTGCCACTTTTCACCATTTATTTTCTTTCTGTAGCATATACATGGCGGTCCAGCTGAACTGCGCTGCTTAGCCTTCTTTGCAGCTATATGTGGCCCAGGAGACCATGTTCTCCCCGATGGGACACAAGCAGATTGGCATGCATACCCCTTAGCTCACTTATGCCTCTCTCTTTCTTCTTACTATCTTAGAATGACATAACTCTGGGACCCCATGACATCTTCCAGGCTAGAGTCATCTCTTTTACTCTGGAATATTATATGAGGAGAAAAGAATTTCTATTTTGATTTAAAACTTTCATCGTTTTGTTCATTTTTTATGGAATGTATTTAGAACAATCTTCTTCCTAGCTTTGTTTTTTTTTTTTTTAAACTATGGAGTGAGCATATGTTAGTTCTGATTTCTTCAAAAGCAAGCACTGTTGTAGAAGGTGATCCCAGAAAACACCATTAGTTGAAGGATGGGAAGAAAGGCAACTTTCTGGTGTCAGGGAAGAGGAGTTCCACTAAAGTGTGTTATAAAGCAAATTATTGTTATGGGCAACTAGAATTTAATTCTTTGGAAGAACTAGAGAGACTGTGAGCCCTTATGAGTTGGAGTATTTATGCTCCAACCACTCTCTGTCACTAACTGAAGGCTATTCTATGTGAGCATGATTTCCCCAACAAGGTTAGCTTCAGAAGGGACAAAACAAGGTACACACTAATAAATAATACACACTAATAATAAAAGGGAAGAACTCAAGAACAATGGCAATGGGTTTCTGATCCTACTGCACGCACTGGCTTTGTGGGAGCCTAGGCAGTTTGGATGCTCAACTTACTAGACCTGGATGGAGGTGGGGGTTCCTTGGACTTCCCACAGGACAGGGAACCCTGAATGCTTTTTGGGCTGAGGAGGGGGGGGGGGGACTTAATTGGAGGAGGGGGAGGGAAATGGGAGGCGGTGGCGGGGAAGAGACAGAAACTTTTAATAAATAAATAAATTAAAAAAATAAATAAATAAAAAAAGGGAAGAGAGAACAGACAAGATACTGAGCAGCACCTACCACAGAGGATTTTGGATAGACTGTCTTAAGATCTTCCGGTATTAAAGTTATTTAGGTTCAACATTAATGTGTATTCTTCTAGCTGCTAGTCTAAAATGCCCTCTCCAGCTGGATTGGTTTGCAAACTTGAGTTTCTCATGATAAGTTTGTTCTTTACTTCTGCTTTTTTTCCCATTGGAAATCAGTTACCTACTCTTGAATTCCATTTATTAATGATGAATCACCTGTCTACTACTTTTTAACCAACTACTCTGTGATGCCATGGCTTAAAGCAAAACTTTCTGTGGGTCAGAAATCCAGGCAGAACTTGCTGGGCATTTTTATTCATGGAGGTTCAGAGTTTGTGTAGAAATCCCAAGATGACCTCTCACCGCCCCCCCCAACCATCCTATGGCCTAACAGAGACATCTCACCTGTGTAGCAACCGAACTGTATGAGAAAGGTAGTGAAAAATGCAGGTCTTTTAAAGGCCCAGACAGTCCAAGGTCCAGAAAATGTTACTCCAGTCTTATTCTACAGGTCAAAACACTCAAAAAGTTGGTCTAGCTTCCAGAGAAATTGGCTCCTCTCCCTGATGGGAGGAGCTTCATGAGATGGGAGGAAGTTAGGTGCTGTCCATCTTGCTCACACACACCCCTTTCTACTTATCCCAATCCCCAGGATTCATTTCTATCCTACATCATATAGGAAGAATAATGTGTCTTCTATTTCATGTCCTCACCCAAACTGTTAAGGTATTTATTAACCCTACTTCTTGAGTCTTCCTTAATTATTTATTTGTAAACAGAGACTGCACCTTGGTTTCCTGGCTATCAGGAAACCCACATCCCACATCATCTCCTCTTTATAATAGAAATGGGTTAATTTAAGATGTAAGAGCTAACTAGGAATATGCCCAAGCTATTGGCCAAGTAGTATTGTAATTAGTAAAGTTTCTGTGTGATTATTTGGGTCTGGGTGGCTGGGAACTAAAGAGCAGTCTCCATTTACATTTATTGTCTTGTGAAATTTTTTGTCACAACTTATCACTAATCTTCCTGGACAGAAAATGGAGGCTAGCATTCCACGGACATTTTGAACAGTTAGGACCACATAGTGAATTCTTAGCTCGTATTTGTATACATACAAAAAACACAGAATGAGAGCCAGCAGAGAGAGTGACCAGCATCCATATGCTCTTGTATTAACATCAAGAGCACTAAAAGTCACTCATTTCAAGTATCTTCTTCTAGAGTGTTCAACTATATTCTAAAAAAATATTTTTAAAAATCCTCCTAGCATAAATGAGACCTAGATGATACATATAAATCTACATGCAGAAATGCTTGTGAATGGAATGGGTTACCTGGAAGGCTCAAGCTTCTTCCCAGAAACTAGTAACCCCACTGTGATGTTCTAGCTCCTGGTCAAACATTAGCCTTTTAAAAAAATAATTAAAAAACTGTTAGAGATAAAATTGGGTCATGGAGGGTGTAAACTTAAATATCTGTGTCTTATTTGTAAATTAACAGATGAGAACAATGTTTTTCTTTCTCTTACAGAAGAAAGTAGAGCAGGATCAATGTTCTGGAAGATCAGAGGTTACTGGAGCTGAGGAATAAAGAACTGAGAATGAAATATTTCCATGGATGAATCATCTCGCTTCACTTCAGTCCGGCTGCTGGTCCGAGAGATGTAACGAATTATTTATTATCCCGGGCAGTAGAAAGTAGCGTCTATGCCCATGGAAAGCGGAGAAACACAGAAATATGAACCTAGGGAAGATTTCAGAACAAATGAAAAAGTTTGTGTGTCTTGGCAGTCAGCTGATGGAAATCTCTCAAGTTTCTGGATTCTAGTCTCCTACGCTATGATTCAACTCTTAGTCATTAGGTTTCCAAAGACAGAGTAAGTAGAAAAATGGGCCATCATGCCCCTAGGATATACACAGGGTTTCTTCAGCCCCTTCTTTCCTTCCTTCCTTCTTTCCTTTCTTGCTTTTTTTTCTTCGTTTTTCCCTGCCTTCCTTTCTTCCTTTCCTCCTCCTCTTTTTGGTACAGTCACCAAAGGAAGATCTGCAGACAACTTGGATGACCAAAAGAGCCAAAGATTGACAAGACTTCCTCAGTTGATTCTAACTGACTAGGGCTAGGAATATTTATATAGCTTCTTGACCATGGTCTTCCTGCTCATTCCACCCTACTTCCTAACTAAATGGCTTGAACAATCATTTTATATTGAAAATTTACTATATCAACCAAAGAGGCATTGCTTCAGCGAATCCCCTGGCTAAGGGTGCCAGCTGAGTCAAAGATGCTCCTTCTGACACACTCACTGTCACTGCTAGTGCCATGTTGTGCACTGGTAGCTGGAGCGCAGAAAATGCGCTGTTTGGGGTTCCTGGAAGTTTGTAGTGGATTCTCTGTTCTAAGGAGGTAGAATAGAATAGGGTCTACCAAAAAACACACCTAGGTTTAAATTGCTCTGTCTCTTGCTATGTGATCTTGAGTACATTGGAAAACCTCTATTAGATGCATGAAAACATTTCCTCATCTGCAAAGTGAGGGTAGATACACTTGACTCACACGATCATTGAGAGTAATACCTAAGCTGGTTGTGGTGGTGCACGCCGGTAGGATTTGCTGAAGGAGGCAGAGGCAGAGGCAGGAGGAACACGAGAGTAATACCTAAGTAGATAATACTGTTTCTAGGTACCAAATTGTACTTAATAAATGGCTTGTAAAACAAGGGTCTTTTTGTCATTCTCTGATCATTTCAGTACATCACTGTGTTTGCAGTCTGTGTGTATACAGGTCCCACCAGTAGATTATAAGTAGGTACCTGAGACTCCTAAAGATAGAAGAGAAAACCAGAGTAAGGAGCCTTAGCGGCCACCCAGTTAATTGAGGAGAACCTTTTGGTGCCAATTTGAGGGAATTCATAAAGCAGACAAAGCACTCAAACCGTATCAGAGAGAAATTCTGTTTTACGAGAGAAATAACATGAGAGAGAGCTGGTATAAAATTTGGAGTTGTCCCTTTTTCCTAGAGCATTCGCTACCCAAATTACATCCGGCTGAGCCCTCTTCCTGCCGCCTCATTTCCTTCTAAGACTATAAAAGAATCCTTTCCCTCTCTTTCCAGTCACCATTTTCGTCGTTCTCTGAGTCCTAGCTGCACTGACATTTGCGTCTCTCTGGGAACCTCTGTAAGCACTCCCTCTTGTCCCATCATTATCCCTTGGCCAAACTTCTCCCTGTGCAATCATCCCTCCAAAAATAAATGGTGAGTAATCCTTCCTAAGACCTCCTCTTCCAAAGGCTATTTGTTGGCTGGTGACACTGCAGCATTTGCAGTGTGCTTAAATGCCAGTGGAGCAAACATCTCGCCACTGACTCCAATTTACCTGAAGCACTCTGATGAGGGCGCCTTTGTTTGTCCTTTTCAGCCAGTCATTTGTCAGAAAGCCAGGATGGAGAGATTTCAGAAAGGACAAAAGGAGCGCCATCTCAAAAACAAAAACAAAAAAAAAAAAAAAACAACAACAAAAAAAAAACCCAACTCCTCCTCTCAAAAAATTGGAGAGGGGAAAAAAGTGCCTGGAGAAAATTAATTTTAAAAAGATAAATAACACACTTATCTGGAGAACTGCAAGAAGTGAAGGCACTCAGAGATGTAACCTTTTGGAGGGCAGCTCTATTCTTGAGTGCCATTTTGATCATTATTGCATGAGTCCACTTCCAAGGATGCATGCTTCCAAGAGAAGTAGAGACAAATGTCTTGGAATTTGTTTTTCTGTGTGCTGCTGTGAGAAACTCAGAGCTGGTCTGGATAGCAACCAGGAATGTAAGGGCAACAGCCCCTTATATACTATTGACTGGAGGTGGTGCCAGCGTGTGGCAGTCGTTAAATCTCTAACTAGTATTCATACACATGAAGGAAAGTTGTTGCTTCCCAACATGATTACGAAGTTCTGTCCTTAGCCACTAGTGCAGGAAAGGGAATCAAGTGTGCCTTCTGAAGGCACTCAGGAGCTAGGACTTTATTTCTACTTTTGGGGGGTAAAGGGTTTGCACAATCTCTTCACTGAGTTTTTAATCGAGTAGCTATTCCACTCTTCCTTTTATGGAGCCATAGAAGTGTCTGTAATGAAAGATTAAAATGGTCCTGTGCAGTGGTTTGCAGTGGCTCTGCCCAAATAAAATATGACAGCTCTCTCGTAGGGCCTATATGCAAGCAGAGGCAGCTTGGGAGCAGGCTGCCTTAGACTCTCTGCCATGCATACTGATTGAAGGTTGTATGGGTTTCCTGAATGCTATAAAAAGGGGGCGGGTAGAGGTGGGTGTAGGAGAGGAGAAGAGAAAGAGAAAGAAGGAGAGAGAGAAAGAGAGAGAGAGAATTTTTTTCATCAAATTACTGCTGTCCCATGTACACCAAGAAATTGAACAAAGCTGTTTATATTTCCTGTAGCAGAGGTAACACACACACACACACACACACACACACACACACACACACACACAGGCTAATGGCTACTTTCCCAGAGTGGTAGAAAGAAGTAGTAAATGGGACTGTGTTGATGCCAGGAGAAGACCCGGGCAAAGATCAAGATACCCAGCAACATATCGGATAACACATAATTGGCGGGTCACAGCCAAATGAGTGTAGTCACGCATCTCCGGGCAGGCCTTTGCTGGTGATAAAGACACTTGTAAACAATTCAGTCCCAGAACATGGCAATAATATGTTGATCCAGCGTGTAATGAGGTGTTCCTGGAATCAATAAGCAGTCATGGAGAGCAGGGAGCAAGGGCAGCGGCTGGCTTTTTGATGACCTTTTCTCACCACCAAGGACCCCATCTCCCCTGAAGAGGACTTTTCTCATTTTGCAGCAAGCTCCGAGTGTCAGAACTTCCATTCGCAGCCAGCAAATGAACAGCCAGGCCCTGCATGCTAATGAAGTCCAGGCTATTTTGCACCTTTTCATCCGCACATTATGCTCTTGACTCTGGAGAAGGTGGGAATTAGGCCGGACCCCGGTGTCAGGCTGCCTGATGGCTCGGCTCCGGAAAACTGGTAATTGAAGCTGGTGACTGATGCGAGGGAGGCCTGAATTTGGAAATAAACAGTTTCAAGCACTGCATGTCATTTCTAGAGAGACTGCTGAGAGAATGGAAATGAGCTCCTTTTCTTGAATCTAATGCAGTTTCTCAGCAGGAAAAACAACGTCTTTTAGACAACAATGCCAGTCATTAAGATTTAAACGTTCTGGCGATAATAGACGTACTGGCCTTGGCGTTCACAAACAGCACTTATGTAAATGTCTTTCAACACCCAGATCTACAAGTAATCCACGCCCAAGAAGATAACTGTGTGGGAAAGCGGAAGCAAAAGCAACTAGGAGTCTATAAATATCTTTCATAAGGAGAGAGAAGGAACAAACAAACAAAAACCTTTGGCCAGCACGTCAACCGTCAACCGTTGCTTGTCAGCGTTGAGCTTGTCAGCACCGGCGAAAGCGGCAGCCCTCGTTGAAACAATGGAAGGGCAGAATAGCACCAGAACCTACACTTTACCTGATTGCTTTCTCAACACCGTGCTTTATTTCAAACGACATCCCAACCTCTTCATGTGGAAAGTCACCCATGCTCTCTAACTATCCACGGCATCCGTGCTACAGATGCTCCAAACTTAGGGGAGCAAAAGTTTGAGTCTAGATTCCTTTGCTTGCAGTTTTTAGAAGGAAGTTCTCTCAACAGTGATTTCTCTTAATATCACCAGACTGTCACAAAACCTGGGACAGAACACGGCAAATCATCGTGAGGTCTATCTTGTTCTGCAGCTGAGATGTACTGGATATTGCTGCATGCAAAACAGAAAGGCTTGTAACCTAAACACAGGCTTGTGGGTTTTAAGAGGCCTTAAAAATCATCTTTACTAGACATGCCGCCAGCCCAGTTCTTCCTGTGCAGGTAAAACACCTTCAGGGATGAAATTACGAGCCCCGAGAAGAGGAGAGTGGGGACCCTGTGATTCATGGTGGCAGGCTGTCAGGGAGCCATGAATATCCATTCCTTTGCTCTTTTCTCACTTTCCTTCCCTACCAGAAGTGAGGTTTTGATAGTTCAGGCCTTTTCCAGTTTAATAGTGACATACAGGATTCTCACATGCAGGCTCTGCTGTCTTAGAGACATCAAGGAGATGAGTACAACTTGAGCCTGCTTGGATGTCATTGTCACTTCAGTTTAAAGGTAGCAAACCTATCTCACAAAGGATCAACACTGAATTATTTCAACATTTCAAAAATATAGATAAGTAATGCATTTCTAATAGCATACTTGTGGGCTACCAGATGGATCAATGAATATTCAGCAGTTCTTTGCATAAAATGTATAGACCTGAAGAAGAAAGAGGTGAAGTATTAAGCAGGCATGCATGTACATGTGTGTATAAGCACACAGATGCACACACACACACACACACACACACACACACCACACTCACAGTCACCTGTCCTTCCTTATGACAAGGGTGCTCCATTCTGACTTTACTCCCTTGCCTCAGAGGATCTCCCAAGTCATAATGGTGGAAAAGAGGGAGAAAATTGGGGTCACCAAAATCTGATAATAATAACTACAGGCTCTCTGAGCATGATGGGAACACATAGACTAGGAATTCAATATTCACATAATGATTCCTTCCATGTTCAGAGCAGCACTGGTTCTTTTTTGAAAAGCTTGTGGGTACTTCATCACTGGCTTCTCGTTATAAGCTTATGGCACAGAGACTGATTTATTAGCATTATGGAAAGGGGAGACAGAAAAAAATCATGTGATTTCTTTCTTTAAAGATCAACAGCAAATACAATGGCCAAACCAGGATCAGAACTCTCTGTTTCAAAGCCCCTGTCATACGGTTCTTTTCTATAAACTCACACTTCCCCGAGTAGATATCAGTTTACACAGTTGTGCAGTGTTAGGTCATTTCTATGGTCATTGTTCACAAGCCTTTCGTCTTCTGTTGCTGTTAAGGGACTGAAATTAAGTTTACTTGGAGTCAAGATTTGAGACTCCCAACTATCCTAAAAAAGAACAGCCAGTTTGAGGCCAAACTGTTTTACATGGTGAGTTCCAGGCCAAGACCCTGTCTCATAAAACAAAACAAAAACAAAGACAAGAGCCAGGGCAAGAGTCTTTACTGGCCATTGGTGGAGACTTCTACAACCTCCCATCTCTTTTGAGTGAAGGCTTGTGTGCCTTTTCTGAGAAGTCTCTTTCAATTCACCCCAGAATGAAAAGCAATGGCATGCCAAAGAAGCCATTCCATCTTAGACCAGCTTGATGAACCGATGCATTCTGGTGTGCGTGTGTGTGTGTGTGTGTGTGTGTGTGTGTCTATGTGTGTGTGTGGGGGGGATCATTTTGGGAGAAACGGTGACTCAAGTAACTGCCCTACCAAAAAAACTACATCTTAGCATGAGTGATGACTCATGAAAACCGCATCTCTGGAGTCTTGCATCTCCAGGCATCCTCCACCTTCTGTCTACTTTAATATCAAATGCAGCTGGGGCAGGATTACCTACAGCTGATGGGAGGGTGGGGCGGGGGAAGGCAAGAGGCAGTGGTTGGAGTCTCAAGTGAGGGTTTGTTAACCAAGGGATGTTAACAGTCCTCATGTGTGAGGGGCTCCTGTGGGTAAAATCACGGCTGTTCTGATTTCCGATTTTCTGATTTTCTGCCTGGAAGACAGAGTGCCACACCAGGAATCCTGCCTAGGAAAGGGTTACTCCACACATTTGAAGGGTTAATTGCACAGTCTTGTATTTGCCCAAAGTCCTGGCTCCATCACCATATCAACAATAGCAGAAGAGCCAAGGACCCTGACTCTGCTCATGTAATGAGAATGCACGAAGTCAGTCGCCTAGGGTGGAAAAGAACACTTGCTATGATGTCTGTGTCCCAGGTACCGTTTGTATTTTTAGTCCACCTGGCTTCCATCATTGTAGTCCAATCTCAGTTCTGCCTCGAGGTAGCCTCCGGGGTTGTACAATGGCTGCTGAAGCCTTGGTCTCATCTGAAGGAAGAAAAAAAGGAAGGATATAACCGCAAAAGAGCTGGGGGAACCATCACTGCTTGCAGTAGCTTTGAACATCTCTAGCCTTCACCTTGTGCCTACAACATATTTCCATCTACAGAGAAGCTGGGAAGTGTGGAGTTGGGGCTGGATATGTTGTTGCTGCTAGAGTGACGATTGTTTTGCTAGGAAGAGAACAGATGCTGTGAAATTAATTCTTAAGAAGACCCAGCTTCCACCAACATTCGATGTGCAAATTTAAGCAATTATTTAACTTTTAGTTCTCAGTTTATAATGATAGTGGCTCTTTCCTCCCTACTACGCTGGGGATGGGTTAAGTTATAGTTTGGATCTGAAATGCCCCTCTATGTTTATGTGTTAAAGCTAGAAGTGGAGAGATGGCTCAGTAGTTAAGAGCTCTTACTGTGGACTGAGGTTCAGCCCCTAGCATTCTTAATAGGTGCTTCACAACTGCCTGTAAAACCAATTCCAAGAGATCTCGTGCCCTCTTCTGGCCTCCTCGGGCACCTGCATGCACCTGCTGCTCATAAACTCTTTCAAGCACACATGTAAATAAAAAATATTTAGAGTTTGCTTCTGAGTCCATGATGCTTTTGGACATTATGGGATCTTTAATAGGTGGGACCCATGGAAGGTCTTAGGTCAATAAGGGTGTTCCACGGAAGGAGCCTGTGGTATGCCTATTTCTGCCTCAGTCTCCCTGTCTTTACTTCTGTCTACCATGAGGTAAGCAACTGGTTCTACCATTTAATCCTCACTATGACATGCTGCCTTGCCCCAGAACCAAGCTATAGGTCCTGATCATGGACTAAAATGGCCAAAACCGTGAGTTCAAGGCAGCCTTTTCTCTTTTATCCCAAGTATTTATTATAATAATGGCAAACTGACTGACACAGGTTGTGAAGATAAAGTTGTTCACAAAATGTGTTCATTGCCGGTCCTGGCATGCAAATGTTAATATATGGCAACCCAGGAAATGAGATATGAAGATAATCTCTGCTTATTAGAGACTGGGAAGATGCAAATAAAACACCAGCAGGAGGATAGATACTACATCTCTCTTCTAACACAGCAGTTAAGTGAACAACAATATATGGCTGGCAAGGCCGCATGGAACTGGGCAGTCTCAAAAACCATCAGTGGGATAGCAGACAAGGATCTTAGGGGGAAATTAGCAACAATCCTTCTCAGAACTCACCTTAGGTAAAATACCTCTGAAAAGACCTGTCTGGTAGGGGTTGGCATTGAATAACAGGGGTGGTAGTGGAGGAACTGGACACAACCAAAAGGAATGTCCTGCTAAACTGGTTCATCTCTGCCATGGCTCTCTACATAGCAGATTAGAAAAAGGAAGATACGTTGGCATGGAAGACAAGAAAAGGGAGGGCAGATATGGCAAGAATCTGCTCAATCAAAACAAGCTGCAGAATGGCATGTAGGGTAATGCATGTTTGTATATGTCTCTACTGTGCGCGCGCACACACACACACACACACACAAATAGAGGTTTGTCTAGACAGACAGACAGATGTATACTTGTACTTTTCTACCTAGTGTTCTGAAAATGTATGCACCGACCAAATCACAGTCCACTCTGAGCCTGGGAGAAGGGGAATGTCCAAGGACTTTTGTTTTTAGGTTTGTCTGTAATGAAGTACTCTCTTCTTGTACTATTGTTGGGAGGTAGTTAGTTGTCCCTTCTGCCTATCTTGTGAACAGAGACATTGACATTGTTAAACATTTGATTCTTTTAAAAATTAAAGAAAATATTTAAAAATAAACTGATGAAGCAAACACACATATTAATGAGTCACCAGGTGATATTTTGATACATGCACATATTGTAGAATGGTTAAATTAGGTTAAGTATACTCTCTCTCCAATATTTATCCTTTCTGTATGTCAAAAACACTTAAAATCCTTTAGGATGTTATTCTATAGTCAGTCTTCTATGTAGTAGCCAATAGAGCTCTTTACTCCTGTCTAACTGGAACTTACTTTCATTAGTCAGCATCTCTCCATTCCTCTCCTTTCTCTGTGCTCCCCAGCCTCTGTTAACAACCATTCTATCCAGCTATCTTTTCAAAGGCATTTATATAGTCAATAGCCTTCTATCATTGTGTCCTTGAGAACAGCTAGATAGTAAACCATTTCAACAGAGGTTATTGTTTATCCCATGATATAAAAATGCCTACTGTGGGAAAGAGAAGCCATGGGAAGCTCATCCATGGAGAGAAAACTCAATTAGGGATTCTAGTTGACGTTGTCAACTTCTCCAGTTGGTTTCTGCTCGGTACTGTGCGCACATAATTTCATAATGTCATCTCTTTCTATTGCTATTTGTTCTTTTACTTGGAAACCTCACCAAGGGAACTCTGTCTAAAGGAAATTCCAGTTGACTGATTCTGTTGGGCTTCCTCATTTGATTTCTGCTAGACATTTTGAGCACCTGAACTGATGATGTTTTGCTATCTGCTCTATCTATCTATCTATCTATCTATCTATCTATCTATCATCTATATAAATCAATCAATCTATTATCTATTGATCTATCTATCATCTATCTACCTCTAGTTCTTTTCTTTATCCTTTTACTTAGGCTTGTTATTTATAAAACAAACCCACTTATTCGAATCAAAAGGATGGCTATCATAGATCATTCTCTTGGCTGAACAGAACACCTTGAAAGGTAGCAGAGCAGCCCACTCTAAAGAGAAGCAGATTTTTTTTTCATGTCCAGCATTAAAACTGGTAATATGTTCTTCTAGTGAAACATTTGAACAAAGTTTGCTATGGTCGCTTTGAAAGATTGGGTTTCCTAAGCTAGCATTTTTCGGGTCTGATGCAAACATTCTGTGTATATATTACCCATTACGACTAACCTCTGTATCACCCCTGTGGTACTTTGTGACCAGGTTGATCAGATTTACATTTGGAAACTTGGAAATTCATGGTTTCTATGAGTAACAAAGTTGATACCTCTGACAAGTCTTATGTCTTCTACCAGGAACCATGAAATTAAGGCAAGGTAAAACCACAGATTCTGACATTTACTTTATGAAAGAATATAATACAAATACTTAAAAGAATGTAAATTTTAAGTATACCATTGAATCTTCAGAAAATGGATTGAGCAAGTCAGTGAGTGTTGTTGAAATATTATTCCTTTATGCTGTGTGAAGATGTGTCACTGTGATTGTTTAATAAAACGCTAAACGGCCAATGGCTAGGCAGGAGGTTTAGGTGGGACTTCTGGACAGAGAGAGCTCCCGGAAAAAGAAAGGCAGAGTTGCCAGCCAGATGTAGAATAACGAGGATGGGCATAATGGAGATGCGGTAACAACCATGTGGAAGAATGTACATTTTAAAAAAATGGGTTAATTTAAGTTATAAGAGCTAGTTAGAAATGAGCCTAAGCTACGGCTGAGTTTTCATGATTAATAAATCTCCGTGTTATTTCTTATGAGCTGTTGGCTCAAAAAGAAAAGACCATCTATAAGTAAGAAGTATTCTCTTGTGGTCTATTCTTCAGTTTCCACATCTAGGTTCCTGCCTTGAGTTTCTGCCTTGGCTTCATTCGATAATGGACTGTAACCTGTCAGCTCAAATAACTCCTTTCCTTCTCACACTGCTTTTGGTCATCGCGTTTCACCACAATGGCAGAAGCAAACTGGGGTAGACTGGCACCAGAGAGTAGGATCTTGCTGTGATAGACCTGACCATGCTGGTTCGGAGAAGATTGTAGCAGCATTTAGCTCTTTGTGCTGGGAAAGCTATTGAGCAGCGGGAATTTGAGAGATAAGAATGTTGATGGAAGCAGGAGGATCTCTGAGTTTGAGGATAGCCTGTCCTACACAGTGAGTCCAGGATAGTCAGAGCTATACAGAGAAACCCTGTGTGTATGTGTCGGGGAGGGGGGTGAGGTGGGGAAGAATGTTGATGGAAATACAAATGATGGAGAGGCCTGGCTTGTGAACCTTCAGAGGGAAGCAAAGACCCTATTAGGGCTCTTCGTGTGACAGTTTGCCTTACCAATCTGTGGAACAAGTGACACCTACTTGCGCTTCACTGTGGCATTTGATGTTGACTATCTGGGGCTAAAAACAAAGTCAGCTGTGATGATTAATTAGAGATCAGCATCACTGAGACAAAATATTCTGGGAAGTGGGCCACGTCCAGCATACTTTGGTCTAGAACCTGACTGGGACAATGAAGGAATAAAGAAAGGACAGGCCGACACACATACGTACAGAGAAGCCGGCATCAGGTGGCCTTTGCTCATGCTGGTGGAGCGCCAACAACTGAGCATGCTCTGGAACTTCACTCCACTTACTATGCACAATCGCAGGAGGGAGGCTTGGCTAGCCTCCACAGGCGGTGTCCATGGGAGTTTCAGGTCACAGTCATCTAAGAGCAGGAAGCATGACTGTGACCTGAGACTCCCTTTGTGAACACTCTTGGACCAGAAGAGAGAAAGGCTTTGCCAACTTCCTGAGTCTCACCTGGTGTGTTGGCCAGCTTTATGACAAAAGCCATCATTATCTAAAAGGAAGGAACTTCATTTGAGAAAATGCTTCCTTTTGCATTAGTTCCTGTCTCCAGGTTCTTGCTCTGTTTGAGCTCCTGACTTTACTGCTTTTGAGGATGGATTGTGTGGTGGTTTGGAAAAGAATGGCTCCCATAGACTCATATTTGAATGCTCAGGGAGTGGCTTTAGGAGGTGTGATCTTGTTGGAGGAAATGTGTCACTGGGGGTGGACTTTGAGATTTCAAATGCTTGTGTCAGGCTCAGTGTCTCTCTCTCTTCCTGCTACCTGTGATCTGGATGTAAAACTCCCAGCTCCTCCAGCACCATGTCTGCCTGTCCACCACCATGCTTCCCACCATGACTATAATAGACTAAATCCCTGAACCTGTAAACCAGCCCCAATTAAATATTTTCCTTTATAAGAGATGCTGTGGTCCTGGTCTCTGTTCACAGTGATAGAAACCCTAAGAAAACTGTTACATGGGACTGTGAGTGAAATAAACCTTTTCCTCCCCAAGTTGCTTTTAGTCATGATGTTTCATCACAGTAATGATAACCCTAACTAAGACACCTGGAGAAAGGCTTTGCCAGTTACCATAGGTTTGAGGCACTAGTCATTGGCGTGGTTGTGTCCATCTCAAAGTACACATTCACTCAGGACTCTATCCATCCTTTGCACATTTACTAAGGGTTTTCTCCATTCCCCATAGTGAAGTCTATCTTTAGGGTCAGTACACAGAAGCTGGGACTGGGCTAGTCAAGGGACACAAAGCTTCATATCAAGTTGGCAGCAGAGCTTGTCAAATATTGTACAAGAGTCTCCCGCGTGATACTGGTTTTGAAGGCAGGGAGGGTTCGTGGAAAGCACTTGAGTGTTGGCACTGTCTGAAAAACAGTGCTCAAACACAGCCATGTGTTTTTTATTTTACCCATCAGGCAAAGTGACTGGGCATTTTCTTAATTGCTAATTAAGGTAGGAGGGCCGAGCTCACTGCTGATAGTTGTATCCCTAGGCAGGTGGGTCTGGGTTGTATAGTTAAAGCAGCTGGACAAGCTAGTTTTATTCCATTGGTAAGGACATGATAGCTCCCACCTTTTAATACTTGGTGAAAAAGTTTGAGCATGAATTTTGTAGGAATAATATATTTAGTTTTTTTTCTGCTGCTGTAACCAAAAGTCCCTAACAAAAGCAAGCCAGTAAGTTCCTCCAGGGTCTCTGCAACATTTCCTGCCTCCTGGTTCCAACCTTGGCTTTTCTTGATATGGAATATAACCTATAAGATAAAATAAACCTTTTCCTCCCCAATTTGCTTTTGTGATGGTTTTATCATAGTAACAGAAAGCAAACCAGGACAATATTATTGGATATTTTTTATTATTGAAGCTTTGACTATGGACACAAGTAAACACAATTGTATAATGATCCCCTGTGCACGCAGGGTCCAGTGTCAAGTGCTGACTTCTGATATTAACTTATAATCACAACTTAGCCACTAAAGAAGGAGTGTCAGTCTTGACAGAGACCCAGGCAACACACCACAGCATCTCCAGCTGAGAGACAGTATGCTGAGTGACAGCTCTGTGGTTTGAATGTTTGTGTCTGTGGTTGTTTAAATGAGAATTGCATCCCCTCCATGTGCTCATGAACACTTGGTACCCAGCTGATGGTGCTGTTTAGGAAAGTTATGGAAACTGTATGAGGTGGGGCCTTGCTGGAGGAAGTCCATCACTGGAAACAGTTTTTGGGTGTGTATAGCGTGGGGTCACTTCCTGTTCTCTCCCTGTCTCTGCTTCTTGTATATAGATGAAAATGTGGGTAGCTAGCTTCCAGTTGCTGCTGCCATGTTTTCCTTGACTGTAGCTGTGCCTTTCCCACCATGACAGACTTTGCCCTTCTGGAACTGAAAGCCAAAAGGAACTCTTTCTTCCTTAAATTGTTCTTGTCTCTCCCCCCCCCCCTTTTTTCTAATCACAACAAGAGAAAAGTTATTTGATACAGTGTCTCTTCCAAATTCCTGCTGAAGCTTTATCTCCAAATGATAGTGTTAAGAGGTGGGGCTCTTGGGAGGGAGTGATGAGTGCATGCAAGCTCTGTCCTCATGAATGGAAGTGATGTCCACATAAAGTGACCACACAGACCTCTATGATCTATCTCCCACTCTCCATGCTATTTATTCGAAGCATCCTGCTTTCCTCTTTGGATTATTTTGGCATCTTTATTGGAAGCTGACTAGACACTTGTAAGTCTACACTTGACACTGGTCTGTTACATTGGTCTATGTGTGTGTTTTTGAAGCAACACCACAGTGTCTTCACTAGCATAATTTCACAGGAAGTCTTAAATTCCAGTAGAGACATTAGTTATCCTAAGTTGCTCTTTTCTTAATCTCATGATTGTTTTTGCTAACTTGCATTCTTTACATTTCCATATACATTAAAAGTCAGACTGTTGGTTTCCAATAAAGCTTTCTGGGACATGGGTTAGAAATATGTTGAGTAAATGGATCGATATGGGGAGAACTGAATTTTCATCTTTATAAAATTGAGTCTTCTAAGCACTGAAAATTGTATCTCTCTTTTATTCAGGTTTTCAAAGTGATATTACAGTACTATAAACATGCTGCAACTCTGTTACACTCATCTCTGGGTACTGGATGTTTCTGATGCTATTGCAAATGACATTTCAAAATTCCTTTTTCTAGGGAAGGGGCAATATAGTGGATAAAGGTCTTGCCTTGCAAATATGAAAATTAGAGTTTGGATTTCTAGCAGTTATGTAGTACTAGGAAGGCCGGCCGCCTGCTGATCATCCCTCAGGATGAAGAGAAAGAGGATCCCCAGAACAAGCTAAGAAGATAGTTTTAGCTAAATCAGCAAGCTCTGAGTTCAAGTGAGAGGCCCCAAGTCAAATATATAAGGTGACCAGAGAGCAAAGAAGACACCTGATGCCATCTCCTGTCTTACATACACACAAGCACATATATTTGCATGCATACCCGTACACACATGTGCCTACATACATGTAACTATGCATGCATATATTTATACCACATGCATATATGCACACAAACCTTTTTCCATTTATTTGTTTATGGTACACAAAAATAAAATTATTTTTGTATATGGAACTTTATTCTATTTGTTCTAGTACCAGTAAATTTGGATTTTCCACAATACAGTACATCATTGTGAGTAGAGGCAAATGTGTCTTTTTGGGTATTGATGCTCTTGTTTATTTGGTTTATCTCTTTTATTCTGTTATTTGTTTCTCTTCAGTGCTTGTTGTTTCTTGAATGCTTTTTTTTTCTTGGTTTTCAGGGCTCCTATCTGTGGATCTTGTATTTCTTAGTGTATTTCGTCTCTAGCGTTTCACGGCTGTCTGGAACAACACCTTTATTTTTCACTTAGGTCACAGGCTAGCAGCCATTCATCCAAATGCAAATGCTGTTCAGAATGGGAAGCAGGCTGCATGAGAGAAGATGGAGATTTGGGATTTGGATCCACTAGCTTGAGATGCCCATTTTCTGAACTGTTCCGCTCATCGGCATAGAGGTAACACCAGGTTTGTTCACCATCGACATGCGTGTAAGGTCGGACATGTGGCTAATGGAGGCATTCCCCACAAGGGTGAAGAAAACAAGGAGACAGAACTCTAGGCAACACTATAGAGAAGGGCCCACTGGACTTGCTAACCAGGGAACCCATTAGAGAGCTGACTAAATGGCATTTGGAAAGATGAGGTTTGCAAGGGGAAAAGGAGGGGGTTGGGCGGTGGGGTGGGGATTGTGAGGCAGGTGACAGTGGGTGAACAGCATGGGAAACATAGATGCAGAGTGTGGACGACTCTTTGCATAATTAGAAGTCATGCCGAAAATGCCTTGGAAGAGCAAGTCTTGAACAGCGTGGAAGGGTTTCCAAGGGAAGCAAAACTCTTCAACAACTTGAGCTACTTTTGATTGTCGATTGTCTCCAAACTCCACTTAAAATGACTGTTCTCTGGGTTTCTTTTCTTTCTACATTTTTCTACTAAACTTGATAGAGGAGGACTCAGCTCTTCGTCTTCTCTTCCTCTGTAGGCCCTTTGTGTTTTTTCTTCTGGGAACCATTACCAACTTTTCATCCATTCTTTTCCGCTAAACATATGTTGCGGTGACCACACATTTAGAAAATTTCTGATGTGTCTCTTTTCTGATTGTAATTTTTTTTTTCTTTTTGAATCTGGATACAGTTTTCACCATTGATTCCATCTGAACCACTTCAATTAAAGACAGAAAAGTAAAATCCACATGAGAATTCTTGTGTGTGTGGAATGAAGCCTCATCAAATATTAAACCACACACACACACACACACACACACACACACACATACACACTGAACACCTGAGTCTCCCTTTTATCCCAATAACAAGGGCGAGAAACGCTTTGAAATCCTCCCTGAATTCCATGTAAATGACCAAGGCAGTTAGGTAGCAAGTGATCTTCAAAGCAGGCGGCATCTTTCCAATGAATGTCTGCGCTGATTTCATTATTCCTCAAGGCTCACTGATGTCAGAAAGAACAAAGAGATAAGGAAAAAAGTATCTCTTTGATTGCACCCCTTGGTGTGTATTTCAGAATGAGGATGTGATATTGGACTATTTTTCTGGTCATTTAGGGACTTGCCGACATTCTCTATTAGCACTGGTGAAGAATGGGAAGTTTCACATGTGTTGGTGGGTGGGGTAAGGACAAGCTGAATTACGGGGTCAGATGTCTTCATGTTCTATCTGGTGTTTTTTATTGACATTGGGGATTAAGCTGCGTAAGAGCAGGTTAAAGATTCGGGGTGCAGCTCAGGGGCAGGACAAGTGCTCAGCACTCACAAGCCCCCAGATTTAACCTTCAGAAGCACAAATCAAAACCCAGAAACAAGCAGATAAGAACCACACTAAAGAATCAGGAGGAACCAATAGTTATTTTTACCTAATATCAATTGCTGTTTGAACTTCAAACCTTTAATCCTTGGCG